CTGGGTCATTTAAGGCTAGGAAGTCCCCATAAGTTTGGGGAGACCCGGTACTGTGCTTAGTTTTGAATTGCTTGGAGAGTCAGACATGTCCCATAAGTTTGGGTGGTCTGATTGCTCTGACTTGCGAGGGTTGTCTGTGGTTGACTTTTCAGGAGCCAAGCATGTCCCATAAGTTTGGGTGGCTTGGTTGCCTTGTTTGAATTGGGTTCTTTTGTTTTTTTGGTTCTGAACGAAGAGGTCTGAGCATGTCCCATAAGTTTGGGTGGCTCAACCTCTTCTCGCTTTATTTCTGAGGGAGTTTCGGTTGAGGACAAGGCATGTCCCATAAGTTTGGGTGGCCTTGACCCCATGCCACGCACAAGTTGAATCAGAGAGGAACGAATCAGACGGAGGACCAGACATGTTCCCTAAGTTTGGGTGGCACATGATTAGAACCCGAAGGCTATAATTTGACTATATTCTATTACTCTTCTATCTATGAACTGGCTAGTCAGACAGTGTTCCATAAGTTTGGGTGGTCCTGACTATAGCTTATCATAACTGAAGAAAGTATCAATTAAGAATAAACCTGAGGTAAGAAGGGGCAGGCTGGACCTCGAACTAAGTTTATCGGTATCAATTAAGAATAAACCTGAGGTAAGAAGGGGCAGGCAAGACATGCTGCCTTATAAGATTAAGTCCAGATAATTATATGAAGTTGGGATACTTAAACAGTTCAGGGCGACTAGGGTGGCCTAGTCACATGCCCAAAGAAGAGAAGTAGTTGTGCCCTCTGTGTTGTGTATACTCAATGGCTAAGTTAGGCATGTCCCATAAGTTTGGGTGGCCTGACTTTATGCCTTATGTAAGCTGGGTATAAAAGGACAACTCATGAAAGATTATGAACTATTGTTTGACAAGGTGTAACCCTGGGGCTGGTGAGAGTACTTACCATTGTGGTTTGGCCTGCATGTGGCTGAGTGAGGCCTCTACTTAGTATGAGTTTCAGTTTGATAGGTAGTTGCTTTAGTTGCTCGCCACGTGCTAGAGCGATAGGAGTTAGTTCAATTCCTGCATTTTCTTAGCTAACTTTATTTTTACTTAGGTCAATTTCTGCATTTTCTGAGATCATTTGTTATACTTGGCTTTGTATAAATTTTGGTAAGCTACTTTCTATACGGGAAGCGCTGCCGAAATTTCTGCAAGTCCAACGAGTTATTCAAATTTTGACTTTCAAAGTTCAAGTTGTCTAAATTATATATATGGCTTAGTAGAAATCTGGGAAGTCCCCTTTCTAAAGGGAGTGTTGCCCAAATTTTTGCTAATTCAGGGACTTAGACAAAATTTGGACTTTGGAAAGTTGAAGGCTATTTCTGTTTTCATATTCGGGTTGATATAAATTTTGGAAAGAGACTTTTCCTATAGGAAGCGTTGTTGAAATGTTCTCAGTTTAAAGGAGATAGATTATATTTTGACAGGTGGCGATTCTGGCGATCCAACCTGAATAAGGGAGATTCTGCCATCAGTCTACCTTTGCTTTGGGCACTAGCTTAGAGGTAGATTCAGGCTTAGTTAAGTAAAACGATTTTGGTGAGATCGTGGTGTGGAGATTATTCTCCATTGACTTATAGATCTAACCTGGGGGTTGGCCTGTCTTGTGTTACAGGTCCTCTTGATTGTTCCGATTCAGGATCAGGATTAGATTCAGCTTGATCCTACGAGGATCATTTTTTGTTGTCACTGATAACAGGTCGGTTGCCGATTTGTCGGTTTACGATTCAACTCCAATCCACTTTTGCCACTCAACCTAAAGGTTTTAGCCTTGTGGTTTGACCTGTTTCATTGTGTTTTTACCCGGACTTTATTGAACGGCCATTTAACAAAGATACTGAGTATTTTATGGACTTTTTGGTTGGATCTTTGATGTGATTGCAGGTATGTTTTGGCGATTCGGACTTTGGATTTAACTGCATGTGCTCACATGCATATATATATGGCTGAGAGGAGTCCCACTGTGACTGTGAGAAGTGATTGTCCTATATTAATAACCCTCTATATTTGTGTGATATATATATGTCTTGAGTGTTTCGCACGGCCTACTGGACCACGCGTAGGGGTTAAACAGATCGTGCGTTTGAGAGAAAAAGGAGATCCCCTCTTATCCTTTGCTTTTTAGAGTTTCTATGGTTGGACGTTGTAGTCCGTGGCAACCGTCAAAGTCAAACCCCTTGACTTCTTTCCAGACCCTAGATAAAGGGGCTGGTCTCCAGGGCAATAAGAGACGATTGCCACCACAGGTATGAACGTGTGTACCACCCACTCTCCGCAGGGTGCAGAAGAGGGTGTGGTTCTCAACTCCATTTGGTGGTTGTCCAGCGTCGAGAGATTAACCCTCAAGGTGCGTGTCAACCGACACTCGAGTGTCGAATGAGACCCTCGAGAAGCATGAGTATGGGTACTACATAGTACGCCATCATTGCGACCACTTGCATACGCTTGCATTGCGAGTCGGTATGAGTTAGCCCTGCGTCCACGCGGTTTTATACTAAGCCTTGCGCGCAACGCCTATCCGATTTCTGCAACGGAAAGTTCTGGGATGGCTACTACGGGACTAGGAGTGTTGTCGCGTTGTTTGTTCAGTGTCGTTCTGTATACGTATACGTACATGTGTGTGTGTGTGTTTACTTTTATGTTCTTTATAGTGGTGTGCGCGTGGCGTGTGGGATGCGTCCTAGTCGACCGCCGACGAGTCGCGCTTGGGACCTCAGCCCCCCAAGATGTCGGTTTGCGTACGGGTTCGACAGAGGCGTAATACGGCGCGTACCTCCTATGCTACAGCGAGCGAGAAATGCCCTCGGCTGGTCCACCTCTACGATTGCAACTGATCATTTTCCGTACTGTGGACTGGTAGATCAGCGGGGATACGCCCACCGAAGGGAGGTGACAACTCCCGTAAGGTGGAGGTAAGTGTTGTAGGGGCTCGTGGGAGGTATGGCTGGTGCACTCGGCCGTAGCGACTTGCGGAAGCTCCATGTATATTCGCGACGAAGGATCTAAACCAACTCCTGCGTGACGCGGCTGGGAGTGTCCCGCGCCGCCTGGTGCGGTGCCGGACCGATGTGCTCAACAGCGGAGACAAGGACTTTGATTCAGGCGGAGATCCTTTGTAAGTGGCACAAGATGAGACAATCAATGCCAGATGATGAAGAGCAACAGAGAAGAATCAAGGCAAACTTCACTAAGGTGTGGCTCACAAGGGGCAAAGTGGAAGAGATAAATGACTCTCACATACGATGGAAAGACTGGCACAACTCAGAAGCAGGGTGGAGAAGACAGAGATTGCAGCCAGCTGAAGGACAAGATCCATCACATGTCACATAATATCGAAGGGCAAATTCCGGGACTGTAACTTTCGTAGCTTCTCTTACCTTTCTTGCTCTTTATTATTTATCTGACAGGTTCATGCAGTGGACCTGAGAGGAAAGGTGGAAGTAAGGCAAGCTGACAGTCAATCCTCCATGATGCGGGAGTAATCAATGCTGGTCAGGGTTCCTTCGGCCAGACGGAAGGAAGCTTGAGTGTGTTTCATGATGTAATATTTATTCTGACTTGCCGGTGGAATATGAACCGGACTGATGCTCCCCAGAATGGAAATGGAGCCAGGGCCATAAGGACCTGTTAAGAAAAAATAATAATAATAAATAAATAAAGGGATTTCAAGTTTCAACGGATTTATTGTGCTGCTTGTTACTTGCTATAGAGGTAAAACGGGTTTGTTGTTGGAATGTCTCATCTCAGTGTGCTTTGTTGTCTGCAATAGAACTAAAGCTGCTTCGATTTTGGCTCTACTCATCTGGGTGGATTAGGGGCTGTTGTGGCGAAAATCCAAAACACACACAGTCGTGCCTTTTTTTTCTGTGGAGTTGTGTATAGCGAACATGACAACGCAGACATACACACACAGTCTGGCACAGTCGTGCTTTTTTGTGTGGAGTTTTGTATAGCGAGCACGAGAACACACACACACAGATTCTGTTTGCCTTGGCTTTGGCACTAGAATAGTCTATGGCCTGCCAATCTGGTCTAGGTGAGATAAGTTTGGTGAGGACTTTTGTGATGGCAGTGTGTTATGGATTCTGGTGTTGGTGATGACCTTGGTGATCAATTTGTGATGGAATTGTGTTATGGATTTCAGGGCTAGATTGTGTCTATGCAAGGAGTGGGTTTGAAACTGCAGGGAGTTACGCTATTCTTCTGTTTTGGGGCTAGATTGTGTCTATGCAAGGAGTNGGGCTAGATTGTGTCTATGCAAGGAGTGGGTTTGAAACTGCAGGGAGTTACGCTATTCTTCTGTTTTGGGGCTAGATTGTGTCTATGCAAGGAGTGGGTTTGAAACTGCAGGGAGTTACGCTATTCTTCTGTTTTGGGGCTAGATTGTGTCTGTGCAAGGAGGGGGTTTGAAACTGCAGGGAGTTGCGCTATTCTTCTGTTTTTGAAAATTGAAACCTTTTTTTCCTCTTTCCCTGGAATCTGGCACAAATGTAAACCAGTATTGTGTCGAATAACAGCGCACATACCAGGGCTCGAAGAGCGGGAACCAGGCCGGTGACTATCTTGTACGGTTCGGAGAGGACTCGAGTAATCACCAAGGGTGTGAAAGTTTCACTCTATTCTTGATTGTGGTTTATCTTCATATTTTTCGTGGTATTTATTATGGGAGTTATGCCGTCTTTTGTTATTTTGCTTACATCGCCCACCTTTTTTTAGTCGAAGCGGAAAACATGAATTTTTTTTTGCTTGAGAGTTCTCAGGAACGTAGGTAGTACTCTAGTAGGGAATTTGATATCATAAAGCTGTGCAGTTTTCCACCCTGTGGAAAGAAAGTGAAGAAAACCTTATTATTATGTAAAAGAAAGCAAGGATCTCAGTGTCCTCCCTCACTCTTGTCCCCCTTTCTCTCTCTCTGTGTGTTTGTCCCTCTCTCTCAGGTTGCTTTGTGGTTTTCCGGTGAATGTTGGCAGGGGCTATGTTCAATCAACTCACGTGGTATGTGACATCCTGGAGAAGATGCTACCTTCACAAGAAGGGTGATCGCGTCAAGGTTGGTAATAACCTGCTGTCAAGCAAAAGAACTACTGCCATCCCAGTTCTCAGCAAACATATTTGGATAAAGTACTCGTGTTTGTCAGCAACCTCCAACCCTTGGCATGTTAGCTGTGGTTGTGCCATCGGCCAGCATCTTGATGTCCCTGCCCCGCAGCTCTGCTGGTTGAAGGCTGGGGCTTACAAGCCACAATTCTGCCTGCAGTTAGTGGTGCAAGAATGGTGTTTAATTTTTCTTAGTAGTTTTTACAAAGCTACCATGTCCAGGCTCCTCCCAGCTGTCGAGAATGTCCAGGCAGAGACTGGGTCTGGACGTCCAGCCGGATGGTTCTCTCCGGCCCAGCCCAGCTCAAAATAGTAGGCAGGGGGGGCAGTGCCGTACCCCCGTTCGCTGTTCACGGGGTCTATGGACGGAAACCGGTCATGGAGTTCACGGAGTTCACGACATGGGAGTTCATGGAGTTCACGGAGAGCAGGATCGGTTTTTTTTTTTTTTTTTGCTGGGGGGGGGGGGTTTTTTTTTTTATGGGGGGTGGGGGTTCAGGGAGGGTAACACCCCAT